GGCTGGGACCTTCCCTGGTCCTTGCACGGGCTGGCCGCCCGGGACCCGGGCGGCCCGGCTGGTAGCCTAGTTTTTTTTTGTTTTTTTTTCTGTTTTTTTTTCTGTTTTTTTTTGCAATCGGCGTACGAGGCCCAAATCTAAAGGCTTGCCGACCCTCCGCGGGACTCCCGAAAACTTTGGGAAAACTGCCAGTTTTCCCAAACTTCTTTTGCTTTCACGTCCAAGGAGTTCATTCTTATTTTTGCTGCTGCCGTGAATACAGTGCCCGAAGTAATGCCCGTTGGGAGGGCATACGCTCACATGTGCGCCAGATTCTGTATCCAGCTGCTTTCACGTCCAAAGAGTGTACAATTTCTTTTTTCCGTCGCGGGGCTGTATTGCCTGTGGGGAGGGCATGCTCTCACATGTACCCCAGATTCTGCATCCAGCTGCTTTCATGTCCCTAGGGTTGTTGCTTTCCTTTTGTTCTTTCGTTGTTCTTTTTTTTTTTTCTTTTCATTTCTGAAGAGTACCAGAAAAGAAAACACAATGGCACCCAGGCTTGGCAAATTTCGGTGCGCACTGCGCAGTGAAATTCAGGGTCGGCAACAACAGGCTCGGAGGTACTAGTGGTTTAAGAAAAACAATCATTATAGGCTGCACCCTGTCATTATAGCTGCAACTAAGATTGCAGGTTGCCCCAAATACACATATAATGACCGGGCGTTCTATTGGGTGAAGACGGTATTGGCGGTTGGCAAAAGAGTGCAAGGAATATGAGTAGGAACGATATACCGAAAACCAAGTTGCGAAATCAGACAGATGTCCGGGTAGTCGTGTACAAGCAGAGAGCACAAATGCACCGAGTTTCCATCATCCAAATAAGAGCAATACAATGAAGTAATGAGCCAATGTTCAAGCCCTCAGGCGACACCAACACAGTATCCAAAGTCGCTCCTCTTTGTCTGGCGCCCAGCGCCCAGCCTACACTACCTGAGTATCCCACCTACATCAGCATTCTCGCAACAGGCTCACTTCGACTCTCGAAGACCAATGTACATGACCTCAACACCATAGCCGACCTCTTACATGTACCAGGTATGTATCTCGCTTCCCCTCATCAGACCCTGTCCACCCACACTCTGCCTCCTTCCAGAAGACCACCGATCGCCCTCTTACCCCCTAGCGCCCTGCAGCCCGGCTATGGCTGCTAGTGCTCCGCTGCCCTGCAGCGCCCCACTTCACCACACACGCACCCGCACGCGCTCTGGCCTCAACACAGCACGCAGCCTCTAACGCAGCAGCGTGACCGCATTGCCTGTGCGGGCCAGAATCCCCCTGCCCTGGCTGCTCTTCTTCCTATATGGAAGTGGCAGCCCCTGTGTTGCTGCGTGTGGCCTGGCTGGAAGCTTCCAGTAGCTTCCTGTTGGGCCCCAGTACCTGCGCCCAGACCCGAGACTGCAGTTGAGGGCCTGGGCCCTTTACAGTTGGGCACGGCCTCAGTCTCCAGACTTGGGCCGTTTGCTGCATTTGCACAGGACCCCGGGCTAGGTACGTTAACAGTACTGCTTTTGCATAGGCCTGTGGCCACTTCAAGATGTACTGGCCCTGCTCTTGTGTGTATGTACCCAGGCGCAACTGCCAAGGCCTGGCCCAACTGTACGACGCAGCTTAGTGAGGCTCACGCGTCCACTCAACCAACTGGCGTGCTGCAAGAGCCTGAATACCCACATATCAAAAATGTCAAATTTTGGCCTCTGATGAATATTCAGGCCCGCCTTCACTTAGGGCGGGCACTCGGCTTGCTGGCGGCCTCTGCCCAGAACATGTGTTTGTCTGACAGGGGGCCCGTGAGGGCTCGTTCCTCGCAAGAGTTCATTTCATTTCAAAATGCAACTTTAATTTGTATTTTGCGCAGAGAACCTGACCGTCAAAACAAAACCAGCACAGAAACAAATCCCCCAAAGTCTCTGGCCGCTCTAGGGGTCAACAAGGCTCTGTAAGCGCGGCCTAGATCTCTCCACTGGCATTCGCTAATCAAAAATCAGGGTGGTGGAACAGTGCGCGAAAAAGTACACAGTGCATTTGCAATCCTTGGAATTTCAAACTTTTGGCATGCAATGCCGCACACATGATGTTCGT